TTTTGTCTCTATGCATTTAAAGCAGTACGATTGCTTTGAAAAAAAGTTCAGATCTTCCAACATATGTCAAAATAAAGAAAACATTTTTTTTTTTCAAAAAAGGATTTAAAAAAAAAAAATTAAATAATTTTTTTTTCAATTTTTTTTTTCAAAAAAAAGTAATTTGTCAAATTTATAGTTTCTCAAAAATCTTATTTTTTCGAAGTAATTTTTTTTCAAAAATGTTAATCGTTTTTAAAAAAAATAATAATTTTTGGTACGGGAAGTTCCAGCAATTTGCCTTAAGGCACGATGCCTTAATTGCCTTAAGACAGAATTCCACTTACAGCTAGTTAGTGCATATCGATTGAATTTTCGTTACCGAATAGTATTAATTTTCGTTAGAGTTATTTAGACATATGTCGTTTGGTTATAGTTATAATTCCTAAAGTTTACCGAATCAGTTCTTGGTTTGTCACATGCTTTGAGGTCATGCAGAACTAATAATAATTTAATTTGCACTTAAGAACAATAAAAAAACATTCATTACATGCAAGATAGTGCTTACAGGGTCTTCATCTGACTTCTTATGCCTTCCTTACAAGAAAAAATCATATCCAACTATATAATTTGTAGTTGCAGTATAAAATTACGTGCGCATATTATTTGTCATTACTGTTCGTTTCTTCCATGTAATCGACCATATTCTTTGATGCAGCAGAAATTATTTTGCCGGCGCATACAAAAAACATGAATACATCAATTACGGAACTTCTTCAATTTATTTAAAGTTTCTTGCAACTCGATATGCAATTATTGCGAGAAACGCCAGAAGATCATCTAACGATCAGGTTATTACTTTCTTTACTGCGTTTTAAATTTCTGAAAAATTGAGATAAATAGTTCAACTCAATCGTCAAAAGGAAATAGACACAAAAAAGCTATAAAAATATTATTCTATAAGATAATACAATATTTTATTTATAAGATAGATCACCAATTTAGTATTAATATTAGTTTGCAAGTTAAAGATCCGATGTTTTGAAATTTTTTTAAATGGTAATTCTGAGATTCATATATTTTATGTAAAGTTATGAATGTTCTTACACATCAAGTGAATGAAACGAAAAATTTAAGAACTTATTAAGGGCATAACTCATATAAACATTTTGAATATGATAAGCTCATGTTTTAATAAATTATAAACTTGTATTAAAAATTTCCAGTTATTTACGCCGATTTTTTATATTATGATTATTATAATTATTGTTTTTCAATATTAGTATTTATGATTTTGATTATTTATTACATCTTTGTTTTTATGGTAGCTATCGTTTATATTTATTATTTGATTTTGTGGTACCGTTTTCTTCTATCGAATGACATTTTATTCATAAAAAAGATATTTGCATTTTGACAAATACTCCCAATTAAAATTTTCTTAATCAAAATTAATTACTGCAATTTCTTAGGAAAACAGCTACTGTTTATTTTCATAAATTCTGGCGCTCTCTATATCAGTATGCTAGAGTAATATGGTAAGCAACCATGCTAGATAATTCAAAATCGTCAGATATATAAAATTAATATTGATAGAGCAAACTTTTTCTTGATTTCTTAGATTTTGAAAGCCCACATTAAAATTACTTTAAATCTTTCCAATAAAAAAAATATACGTATAATAATATACCTACAAATAACGATTGTAATGATAAAACTTTAACTATTAGTAGACAACAAACATATAAACCAAAATTGGCAAGTTAAGTAATATTGGAATAATATTTTGTACTATTTATTAAACGGATCTATTTTTAAGAAGCAGATTTCTTTAATGAACGCAAAGTATTCAGTATTATTTAGTTTCTTAGGAAAGAAAAACCTTCGATCTAATAGACAGACATGTTAGTTCATACTTCATCAAACACAATATGAAAGTAGATAATTTTAATTGGTATTAGTCTTTCATAAATTAAATATTTTGTAATAAAATACAAATCACGAAATCGATTTGTACAATTATGCCAATAAGGAATATGATAAACCCCTTTATCCTCTCCAGTTTTATCGATTGTAAAGTTGATGATAAACTTTCATGGAGCACTTATTTATATATTATAGAATAATAATTCTATTATAAATAAATGCATAAATCTAAAATGAAATGCGTAAATGGGCATGCCGAGGTAGTGAAAATATTATAGCATAAAGTGATAACACTAAGCATTTAACTCGATTTTCTAACTTATTGTTAATTTATCATGCAATTTTCTAATTTATTGTAACACATATCATTGCAAGTGGTGGAAAAAATTGTGTTAGGTGTGTGAATGTTCCTCATAGAGACAAGATTTTTCATGTCAATCAAGAGAGAGGCACAAGGAAATTTATGATGAATATTACTATAATATAATATTGCTTATATCATCTCATAATAATGAAAAAAATATTATAATATACATATTTACTCAATTTTTATATTAGATCATAAATGGTTTAAAAAAAATTATAGCTTAAATTTCTATTACCTTATTATTCATTCTTTAATCGCTATTTATAGTAATACTTTTGTTTAAGCAAATATACAAATTCGCGGAGATCGGCTATATCAATGAAATGGAAGTAAAACTTCTGCGAGTTAAGATCTTTGAAAGATTAAGATTAAAAGAAAAAAAAAGTTGATATCACGAGAACGAAACAGGCTACCTAAAAATTGTATTTTGGCCCCCGATTATATTTAGTGTATACAAAAGAAAATTCAAAGAAATATCAGTAGTTTCTTTACCAATAATCTGTTTTGTCAAACGTTTTGATTAAATTAAAAACTGAACTTGAAATTAGAGTAAGATTTAGAAGTAAAAAAGACCATTCTCTTGATTGATTTGAAAAATCTCTGCACTCATGAGTGTGTTATAAACAGTGTCATACTAATAGTGTCTGGTGTGTGGTGGTTGTGACACATCCTCAGTATCCCCATTGCATTTCGGGAGTGTCACCTTGATCCAAACGATGGTCGGTCTATGAGTTCCATCTCCGTCTCTGGCATCGCAGGGCAATTCCAACGTGTCTCCGATCTTCTTCAAGTAGAAGCCGACAGGAGTCACTGTGAAGCTAGGAGGTGTCTGCACGATCACATGGATCATTGGAGATGGTCCTTCAGTACCTGGAATAAGATAATTGTTGATCCCATTGCATTTTATATAAATAATGTTTATATATTGTTTTTATGTATTATTGTATTTGGACGTGGACGCAAACTTCACTGATTTCGTCGATACCTTTTCGCTAAAGGCATCACCGATTTTTAATATTTAAAAGTGGGTCGATGAATTTTAGTAATTATTCACGTTGATTATTTTTACGTTTAGTTTCTTCACAATTAACAAAAATATAAACAAAATAAATTTCACCTAAGTTTTCTCAAATCCAGGATCCTATTTGAAAATATAGGACTGTTCAAATTATATAGAATTTGTGTTTATTAGTCTTTGGATAGATATGTCATGGGTGTTTGTAAACTATTTTGAAACTAGTGGGGCGCATAACATCGTGCCTTAAGGCAAATTGCTGAAACTTCCCGTACCAAAATTATTATTTTTTTAAAACGATTAACATTTTTGAAAAAAATTAACTTCGAAAAAATTAGATTTGGAGAAACTATAATTTTTTTTTTTGAAAACAAATTTTTCGAAAAGAAAAATGTTTTCTTCATTTTGACATATTTTGGAAATTCTGAACTTTTTTTCAAAGCAATCGTACTGCCTGAACTGCATAGAGACGAAATGTCAAAGCGCGCAAGTGCCGCGCCGCCGCCTTCTAAAGGAAAGCATTGGTACGGAACCCATAATATGTGTAAACAAAAATTATACTTATTGTTAAAATCTCTATAAAATATCTGATAATTTGATGTGCAAATGTCTAATGATCATTTTTTGACTGCCAAATGGCATTTTTTTTATACTTTTTTTATTAGATCTCCGAAACCGCCAGACCTGCCTTTATGAAAATTTATCAATCTTCATCTTGTCAATACAAGTAAAATTTTTTGAATTATTAAAATCCGACGCTCTGTTCTCTTAAAAACTGAGTTACCATTTTCGGTACTGTTTGCCCCGTATCTTTGGACGGCTAAACCTGCCTTCGCCAAAAACTAATCAGCACGTCTCCTTATCAATACGAATCGAATGTTTTTGAATTACTCAAATCGGTTGATCGGTGTTCTCGAAATCGTCGACAAAATTTTGTATCCGCACACACATCCACACACGCACACACATCCACACACGCACACACACACACACACACACATTCACACACACATACATCCATTTTTTTCTAAGGTATGCCAAAATATTCAGAAACCTCTGAAACGTAAAGATATATAAAAATTTTCATTTTCGATTTTTTTGCGATTACTATAACTTACCCTACGGAAAGTTAATAATCTGAAGTAAGTGAATCTAATGTACCTAATTCATTATATGGAGTGCAGGTGTAATGTCCAGCGTGCTGCTCTTCTACTTTGCTGAAAAACAAACTTCCGTTTCTTCTATAAAAAACTCCTGGAACATTGTAAGGATCAAATAAGAATCCATCCTTCTCCCATCGCAGATTAGTCAAAGGCGAGTTTTCGACCTGAAGTGACAATCTAAAACAGCTGGTTTTCCTAGAGGCAAGTAGCTTCCTTTGGTGCATATACAACCTTGGCCTTATCTGTCGAAATAGAAATAATTTTGAATTAAATTCAAATTTATAAATGAATAACTATTCAATCAATTACTAATCTAGCAAATTACATGGACACCTGCTATAGCTATACGACATGTGTCTAGAAGTGCGTATTCGCATACGATTCAAAAACATCAACCGTGTAATTGGATTATTATTTATCTTATATATAAAAATGAAGCCTCTCTTTCAAATGTCTAATTTTAAGTAAAACTCGAAACGGCTAACGGATTTGGCCAGTCTAGTCTTGAAAAATTCGTGCCAATCCAGAGAAAGTCCAAAGTGAGATATTATTCCAAAATCGCGTAGAAACTTTACATTTTTAATTTGAAAATTTTTGTAGAAGCGAAATTTAAATAAAACAATAGACGGTGGCTATTACCTGAAATGTCAAACTTCTTGACAGATGGTGTTCAATTACTTTTAATAGAAAGTTTTACGTGAATATTTACGACAATATAAGTCGAAAAACCAAAAAAAACTTGGATTAGATTATACCATGTTTACTATAGAAAGTATATAAAACTTCCAGTTTGATTGTATTGACAAAATATCGGTAATCTTTGAAAATCCATAATAAAAGTATGTTCTTCCGTTGGTAGTTTTTTAGCATTAGTTAAAAATGTAATTACAAAAATTTTTGTAAAATACCTTTAAATTAAAATAAAGTTTTAAACGTGTTTGCCACCTGGCCGTTCAAAGTTACCCCTCCTATAGGGTAAAAAGGTGTAGATAACGAATTTTTGAAAGACATCAAAAAAATACATTTCTACATGATGAAGTAGCTGGCAATTTTACTGAACGTAGTCAGATAATTATTCGCTAATTCATCGAATGTTACTTGAAACTTCGTAACTTAAAATTTCAAGAAAGTAAAATTTGAAAAAAAAATTAAAACAATTTTTTCCAAAAGCAATTATTTTGTTAAACAAGCAGAAAGTTCTTTGAATCATTCAAATCGGTCACTTAGTTCTCTCAAAACTGCCGTTTTTTGTACATTTAGCTCTATCTGAATATCTGAATATCGAATATCTGAATATCTGAATATCTGAATACTGAATATCTGAATATCTGAATATCTGAATATCTGAATATCTGAATATCTGAATATCTGAATATCTGAATATCTGAAATATCTGAATATCTGAATATCTGAATATCTGAATATCTGAATATCTGAATATCTGAATATCTGAATATCTGAATATCTGAATATCTGAATATCTGAATATCTGAATATCTGATATCTGAATATCTGAATATCTGAATATCTGAATATCTGAATATCTGAATATCTGAATATCTGAATATCTGAATATCTGAATATCTGATATCTGAATATCTGAATATCTGAATATCTGAATATCTGAATATCTGAATATCTGAATATCTGAATATCTGAATATCTGAATATCTGAATATCTGAATATCTGAATATCTGAATATCTGAATATCTGAATATCTGAATATCTGAATATCTGAATATCTGAATATCTGAATATCTGAATATCTGAATATCTGAATATCTGAATATCTGAATATCTGAATTCTGAATATCTGAAATATCTATATCTGAATATCTGAATATCTGAATATCTGAATATCTGAATATCTGAATATCTGAATATCTGAATATCTGAATATCTGAATATCTGAATATCTGAATATCTGAATATCTGAATATCTGAATATCTGAATATCTGAATATCTGAATATCTGAATATCTGAATATCTGAATATCTGAATATCTGAATATCTGAATATCTGAATATCTGAATATCTGAATATCTGAATATCTGAATATCTGAATATCTGAATATCTGAATATCTGAATATCTGAATATCTGAATATCTGAATATCTGAATTCTGAATATCTGAATATCTGAATATCTGAATTCTGAATATCTGAATATCTGAATATCTGAATATCTGAATATCTGAATATCTGAATATCTGAATATCTGAATATCTGAATATCTGAATATCTGAATATCTGAATATCTGAATATCTGAATATCTGAATATCTGAATATCTGAATATCTGAATATCTGAATATCTGAATATCTGAATATCTGAATATCTGAATATCTGAATCTGAATATCTGAATATCTGAATATCTGAATATCTGAATATCTGAATATCTGAATATCTGAATATCTGAATATCTGAATATCTGAATATCTGAATATCTGAATATCTGAATATCTGAATATCTGAATATCTGAATATCTGAATATCTGAATATCTGAATATCTGAATATCTGAATATCTGAATATCTGAATATCTGAATATCTGAATATCTGAATATCTGAATATCTGAATATCTGAATATCTGAATATCTGAATATCTGAATATCTGAATATCTGAATATCTGAATATCTGAATACTGAATATCTGAATATCTGAATATCTGAATATCTGAATATCTGAATATCTGAATATCTGAATATCTGAATATCTGAATATCTGAATATCTGAATATCTGAATATCTGAATATCTGAATATCTGAATATCTGAATATCTGAATATCTGAATATCTGAATATCTGAATATCTGATATCTGAATATCTGAATATCGAATATCTGAATATCTGAATATCTGAATATCTGAATATCTGATATCTGAATATCTGAATATCTGAATATCTGAATATCTGAATATCTGAATATCTGAATATCTGAATATCTGAATATCTGAATATCTGAATATCTGAATATGAATATCTGAATATCTGAATATCTGAATATCTGAATATCTGAATATCTGAATATCTGAATATCTGAATATCTGAATATCTGAATATCTGAATATCTGAATATCTGAATATCTGAATATCTGAATATCTGAATATCTGAATATCTGAATATCTGAATATCTGAATATCTGAATATCTGAATATCTGAATATCTGAATATCTGAATATCTGAATATCTGAATATCTGAATATCTGAATATCTGAATATCTGAATATCTGAATATCTGAATATCTGAATATCTGAATATCTGAATATCTGAATATCTGAATATCTGAATATCTGAATATCTGAATACCTGATACCTGAATATCTGAATATCTGAATATCTGAATATCTGAATATCTGAATCCTGAATACCTGAATATCTGATATCTGAATATCTGAATATCTGAATACCTGAATACCTGATACCTGAATCCTGAATACCTGAATACCTGAATACCTGAATACTAATACCTGAATACCTGAATACCTGAATACCTGTAACCTGAATACCTGAATACCTGAATCGAATACCTGAATACTGAATACCTAATACCTGAATATCTGAATACTGAATACCTGAATATCTGAATACCTGAATACCTGAATATCTGAATATCTGAATATCTGATACCTGAATACCTGAATACTGAATACCTGAATACCTGAATACCTGAATACCTGAATTCGAATATCTGAATACCTGAATACCTAATACCTGAATATCTGAATATCTGAATATCTGAATACCTGAATACCTGAATACCTGAATACCTGAATACCTGAATACCTGAATATCTGAATATCTGAATATCTGAATATCTGAATATCTGAATATCTGAATATCTGAATATCTGAATATCTGAATATCTGAATATCTGAATATCTGAATATCTGAATATCTGATATCTGAATATCTGAATATCTGAATATCTGAATATCTGAATATCTGAATATCTGAATATCTGAATATCTGAATATCTGATATCTGAATATCTGAATATCTGAATATCTGAATATCTGATATCTGAATATCTGAATATCTGAATATCTGAATATCTGAATATCTGAATATCTGAATATCGGAATATCGGAATATCTGAATATCGGAATATCTGAATATCGAAATATCTGAATATACTGAATATCTGAATATACTGAATATACTGAATATACTGAATATACTGAATATACTGAATATACTGAATATACTGAATATACTGAATATACTGAATATACTGAATATACTGAATATACTGAATATACTGAATATACTGAATATACTGATATACTGAATACTGAATATACTGAATATACTGAATACTGAATATATGAATATACTGAATATACTGAATATACTGAATATACTGAATATACTGAATATCTGAATAACTGATATACTGAATATACTGAATATCCGAATATCCGAATATCCGAATATCCGAATATCCGAATATCCGAATATTTGAATATCCGAATATCCGAATATCCGAATATCCGAATATCCGAATATCTGAATATCCGAATATCTGAATATCTGAATATCCGAATATCCCAATATCCGAATATCCGAATATCCGAATATTCGAATATCCGAATATCCGAATATCCGAATATCCGAATATCCGAATATCCGAATATCCGAATTCCGAATATCCGAATATCCGAATATCCGAATATCCGAATATCCGAATATCCGAATATCCGAATATCCGAATATCCGAATATCCGAATATATCCGAATATCCGAATATCCGAATATCCGAATATCCTGAATATCCGAATATCCGAATATCCGAATATCCGAATATCCGAATATCCGAATATCCGAATATCCGAATATCCGAATATCGGAATATCGGAATATCGGAATATCGGAATATCGGAATATCGGAATATCTGAATATCGGAATATCTCTAGAAATTGATTAGAATATACATTACTTAGCAAAACAACGTTTGCCGGGTCAGCTGGTATATGAATAAATATATGCTATATATAAATATATATGAATCTAGATTCTAGATCAATCGCAAACATGCATCCAAAACATTTCTACATAACCTGGAGTTTACCGTTAATAACAATATTGATTCATTAGAATGATATCATTGGAGATTAATGAGCTGATTAAGTATTTGTGTAAATCGTAGTATGTATGAGGAACAATACTACGCATAATTGGAAATAGTAAATATTTTCAAGAACATTCCACTCATGCAACTAATAAGTAAACGATGATGGGAAAAGAAGTAACCATAGTAATTAAGATTAGCGACGCACGATATCATTGCTTATGTTAATATATTTAAAATATGAAGTATTTTTTAAAAATTTCAACCGATGATAGTTTCATCAGAAGTATTAAACTAGCATGCTTTCTTCTGACTACACTAACAACACGTTAATCGTCATGTCAGTCATTTATGCAGCACCATATCACACATATATGTATGACATAAAAGATAGTGATTTAGCAGAAAATTTTGCCAACAATGTTAGTTGATGCGGTTAAGTTTTCTTGATATATTTTTTAACTTAATTATATAATAAAATTACAAAGGCCAATGTGATTTTTTTATATTATCGTAGCGATTAACGTGTTAGATATATTTTCAAAGAAATTATATTTATATATTATATAATATAACTTTTATCGAAGTTTGCTCAAAAACGCCTGAACCGATTTCAGAAATTAAAAAGCATCTGATGTATCTCGAAGAGGATTTTGTTTCTCAGTTTTGTGCGACGATCGGCCGAGCCGTTTCATTGTAATTTGGAAAAGTGTTAAACTTTTCGTTCACATTTAAGCTCATACTACCGAACCGATTTTAAAAAATAAAAAACTGTTCGAAAGATATTAGTTGGGAATAATACTGATTAGTTTTAGATGAAAATCTACCAAGCCGTTTAACTGTTGAACAAAAAAATTGCCGATTTTCATGGAACTCTTTTTGGCGATATATATCATGGTCTTATACAACTTACTGAAATATTACGGCCTTACGACAAGTAGTTTAATTTTAAAAATTCATCAAAGTTTGAGAAAAAAAGTAGTTTTTTTGATGTTTGTTGAAAATAAAATTAGATGATTTAGTTGATATAACGATAGAGTACTTGGTCTTGAATATAGTAAACCATTAAGTCCTACGGACAATATCTGGTTCAATTAGAATAAATATTGATTTTTGAAAATTTGCTTTCAGAAAATAGTCCGAGTGAACGTGTTCGTTCGTTCGTTTGCAATGATGTGTAATAAATCCACTCGGAATACTTATAATGGCTCATAAATTAATTATTTTTTATTGATTTATTCGATTATTTACACATTTCGGGAAGTTCATGTAACTTGCCTCACGGCAAAATACCAATACCAACTAGTTCTATATATAATATATATAATATGAGGTTGATCTTAATCGTATCTTACATTGGACATTTAAATATGCTCTTGCAGTCTGTCTGTCACCATGGGCATTTGTAACGGCACATACATATTCTCCCAAATCGCCCATCATAACTGGTCCGACAGTAAGTCCACCCTGAGGCCCGTATCGGACACGATGCCTCAAGTCTACGAGTTCACTGAGAGGAACACCGTCTTTGTACCATTCGACAACACTGTCGGGATCTTTGCTTGTGCAGGCGAAATGAGCTCGCTCGCCTTCTAGTGTTGTCTGATTAACTGGAGGTATGGCCAGTAGTGCACCACCTAGAAAAAAATAGATAAGTTAAAACAAGTAGTGAATACTAAAATTTATGAAAATTTTATAAAATTGAGTTAAATTTACAAGGCTATTTAGTTCGCTCTCAACCCTTTCAAAGAACAATGATTAAACCTTTTTTTCAGGAAAATTGTCCTTGTATGTATTACATAATGGTCAAATAATTTTAAATAAAACTAATGATATTAATATAAGATTTTTTTTTCCCGCTCGTCAATATACGCTCAACATACTATACTTGCAGATTATAGAAAAAAATCAATTTTTTGAAAATTTTATATGGACCTCCCCCCTTAAGTGATTTGTATCATTCAGTTGCTGTACTTTTTGTCTTTTATCACTTTATAAATAATTAATAATTAGATATTGAACTTTGAATATTAAAGGGCACAATTAATTTTTTCATATTTCGATAGGTTATACCTTTAAAATTAACATACCAAAATTTTAAATCGATATCTTAAATAGTTTTTGAGTTACACCCATTTGAAGAGTATATATATAGTATATAGTATAACGATCATTTAAACGCGTTTTTCTCGAAACAGCATTTTTCGAATTTGCAGCAGCGATTACTCAAAAACAAATGATCCGGTCACTATCAAATTTTTTTTACATATTCTATATAAAGTTATACTATATACTATAAAAATCGAATTTTGGCAGTTCAAAAACGACCAAAATTTTTGGTAAAATTTGACCTTTTTTTAAAAAATGACACCATTTTGTCAATTTTTGATTTTTTTCTTTATCGTAGTTCATTTTACAGACAATATTATCTAGTTTAACAAGATTTTTTTTAAATTTCATCCACGTAGAAGGCCGAAATCACTGCAACAGTGAAGGGCCTTTTTTGTCGCGCCGTTGGAGATAGACGATAACTTAAAAAATATTTAATTTTTTTCTTCAAAAATTACTATGTATTCTTCAAACATGTAAAAATATATTCCTAAAATTTTGAAATGATTGATCAAGTAGTTTTTTTTAATATAAATTCCCAAAAATCACATTTTTTTCAAGCGGTTACACTAGTTGTGGCCCTTAATATAATTAACTTTATATAATCTGCTAATAATAATAATTAATTGTTTGGTCCTGATACATGAAATCAACTATCATCAATTACAAAATCCTCACCATCAACTTCCAAGTGGAACCACGTTCCATTATTTCTTGAGCTTGGGCTTCTGTTTGGAAAAATGATTCTGCACTCATACCATCCAGAATCAGATTCTCGAATGGCCGTGAGATTGATGGATCCACGACCAAAACCATGAACCTGATGGTCATCGAGAAGAGTAATGCGGCCTCTATATACAGGGGCTGCTACCAAGTCACCATCGTACCAGGAGAATATTTCTTCGCCCTGAAAATCGAATAATAGCACTTTATATACGACAATTTTATGGCTGAAGAAATCGCTACATTTTGTTACATGAGAATATGTAAGTATATTTACATTTTTATATTGGTGAGGATCACTTTGATTAATTTGATATTGAGTGGACTGTAAATTATAAATATTTCATCACCATAAGAAAATGTGAATAAAACCACTATTTAATTTATGATATATATTGAACTATACTCTACAACCTTCTTCTCTTATTACATTTGCTAGACTTCCTTATTATTATATGTTACAGGTATTTATACTCATATAATTGTATCCCCTACCCCGAAGGGTCCCAGGTTAAATAAAAGCCCTGGTCAAATCTTGACCATATATGTTTAAATATAATATATAATGAATATAATGAATATAATGTGTAATTTCGAGCCGAATCATCAATAGAATGGTCCAATGAAAAAATGGCGAATCCAAGAAACTAGAAATGACCAGAAATTGTAATGGCCAGAAATAGAAATGAAAAGAAATAGGAATGACTAGAAACAAGTGTGTCTAGGAACGATTGTGACTAGAAACAATTGTGACTAGAAACAATTGTGACTAAAAACAAGTGTTACCAGAAACAAGTGCTACCAGAAACAAGTGTTACCAGAAACAAGTGTTACCAGAAACAAGTGTTACAGAAACAAGTGTTACCAGAAACAAGTGTTACCAGAATCAAGTGTTACCAGAAACAAGTGTTTCCAGAAACAAGAAACATGGATGACCAGAAACAGATATGACCAGAAACATGGATATCCAGAGCTAAAAATGACCAGAGATAGCGATGACCAGGTGTAGAAGTTTTTGATATACATGTCAGAAAACTGAAATATTTGAAAATGGCACAATTTTGTATAATTAAGCTCAATCAACTATATCGGATTATTCGCATATATACGTGATCAAATTTCTGATTTTAACGATGTTAATTGAATGTGATATTCTACGTATTTCGCACTTTTTTTTATTGAACCTGCGTTTGATGTTCACATATTTTCATAAAGATAACATCATTACGCTATTAAACTGTATTAAAATATTATTTCTATATAATCTATTCCAATGGGTGATCACGCACCGTAACCAAACATTCGCACATTTTGTTCCGCAGGAAACATTAAACCATCATTACATAACTTGGAATTACAGATCGCCTATCATATATCGCGGGAATTAAGATAAATGAATGATGTACCATCAATTATGCTTTAAATTAAATCTACTAAGGGAATTTGATCATAAGGCATTCTACGAAATTTAAATTATCTATCCATATAATTCATTTTGGCTTAAAAATAATCAAATGATACGGCACTCCTCGCTTGGTCTTATTGTGTTAATTTAATTAATTCTGATAGTTAGTCAGATAGAGAGCGCCCATATCCTATACGTCTAACTATTCTAGGTCATTTTTGATAAATCCAATTGTGCTTTCTGGTTTAAATACAAAGTACCATTAAGTAGTTGTCCGATAGACATTGCAAAAGTGAGTGATGGGTGACGAACTACTCGTAATAACTTGAGACTCTTGGAGCGATAATATGAAGGCGGCTTTTATTAAGTTGTAGATTAAATATCAATCACTTTATATCATTCAATTATTCAATATTACTGAATTATTTGAGATATTTTTATTAAAATTAAGACACTATTCAAAATCAATTTAATATTCATTGGAAAAGTTTAATGTTAAAAATTTAGAAAAAATTAATGAGAAAATTAAAAATATCGTAATATAGAAGTACACAAATGCCCAAATCTTTTTTAACAATCTAGAAAAGTATTTAACTCGTTTACAAAATTCCTGGATTGCCATTAGAAAAACAAGCAAGCAGCAAAAGCTGCATTTACATTTAAAATTTAAAGAAATAAGGGACTGCCGATCATATTGAACTAATTACTAATTAGGTAGAACTCTATTGCTTTCATTTGTACTAAGATGATTACAAATGAATGATATTAATAATAATAGGCCAGTAAAAAAATTTTCGTAAATGATCACTAGGTCAATTAAGAACTATACTGGGCTGCTGATCGTATTGTAATTATTATTTAATTAGTTGATCAATTTAAATTTCATGATTTAAATATTTTATATGCCATACTATAGTTTTAGATTTGATTCATAAATCGTTTATAACTAATATATCAGTAGTAAATATAAAGATTCTTGGTAAAAGATCATAATGAATGAAAAAAATAAATCTTAGAATAGAAATGCTTGATTAGATATAGTTGATTAGGATTTTCATATTTCGAAAAGTTTATGAAAAATTGAATTAGTGTTTTGCTTATGTCAAGCATTGGATAAATACATTATTTGTGTACTTAATTGATCTTAATTCGTCGATTGCGTTCTGAGATGAACAAAAAAACATCCAGACAAGTCATGAAGCATTAAAGCAAACATAGTCTGAATCTATACAATACTTTTTAATTAGAGTAATAATATTACAGCAATTTTGTAACATTGTAATATCTACAGGCTAAAAATAATTTAGACATTCGAAATTCCAAAAATAAAAATATACAATGTTATAAAAATAGATCATCTTCACAAAGATTTATTTGCTGTAGTTATTAACATGTCGTACAAAGTTATTAACAAAATTGTTTAAACAAATAATTTTAAATATAATCATTAAACAGTGCAATGTTTCAGTTAAAATTATGCTAAGTGAATGGTAATTTCGAGTTCATAAAATTTAATAAATGATGCTGTCATAATTGAAGCATGTATAAAAAAAGAATTTTTTTTTATAAGGTACAAAATTGAAATAAAATATTTAAGTGAATCTGCTACCCCCAGCAGAAGCGTCATTTTAACAAAATAAAAACCATTATTATTTAATAACCATAATAATTTGAACCATTATTCTGATATCTTAGATTGCAACGCTAAAGCTCTTATCACTGATTTCCCTGAGAAAGCTTTTTAATATGCATATAAGCTTGCTTTCTCCTTTTGGGTTTTATAAGTAGTAACCTTATTTCAAAGATTTGTTTAGATATTATTAACATTTGCAGTATGAATAGCTTGTAGTTTAATCGGGTAATTCCTTTCAATAATTCATTCATAACCAAGAACCTAAACTACTCAAAATCTGAAAGGTATCTTAAGAATTTAGTGTTTAGATTTTATTATATTTGATTACAAAATAGTTCTAAAGTAGAAATTATTACAAAAATATTAGTTGGATTTTCTATCGTTGATTCAAATATATGTTTAACGAATCTATGAAGAGAAAGTTACTAGAGAAGTTGCGATTCAGTTTGTACAATATATCCTGAATGGATGTTTGGGACTGAAAATTCATCAAATGATCCAACGACCTCACACCATTTATATGCAAATATCGCAGGAACACGCGAGTGACCAAGCCAATTCAAACAAATTCATAATAGAGCAATGGTACAGGAACTGTCAGAAGTAGAACTACAGTTGACAAAGTTATTTATAACCCGAGACTGCATTACATTCATGCCGAATTGTTTGGCTACTGTACCGTGAATATGAATTTCGTTTATGGCGATGTTAAAATAATAATTGATTATAATCAACATTGGAATCTGTCAGAGTAAAATTAGATACGAGTTCTTTAACAGTTTTGAATTCGCCAGAAGTTATGAATTCAACCCCTATTTTGGCATACTATACAAAAACGAATGCAAAGTACACGAAATAATTTAAGATTTACTACGATTTCTCAAAAAGAGCTGAAACGATTTGGAAGGTTGAACATTTCACAAAACATTTTTTCAAATAGTAGCTATAGTCTAATTCATTTCAAGAATGTTAATACAGAAAAAATTATGATAAAAGTCATTGTAACCACAATTGAATAGTCCATTTCAATTAATTTCTTTAATGACCTATGCACATAGATAGCTTGAAAAATTATTTAAACTAATGAATTTATGAATGAGTCAGGAGTTTTGAAAACAACTGTATGTGTCGAATTAAGCGTGCAAGACTTTAATTTAAATTTTAATTGAGGTACACGGCTATGCAGTCCATTGAGTTCGGGGCCAAACTAAATGACATACATTTTACGTAATCGTTTTAACAAATCATGCACTTATAATTTGTAACAATATTAGGAAAACATTGCAAAATTAATTTTATTTTAAATTGTGGTATGTGTCAACTGCTTGAGATACCGCATTCCAGGAGATTCAAGCGAAAATCACCAATGGATTATCCAATTGATTAATCCTAATCTAGCTAATTGTTTAATGTAACAATTTCTATATTTTTTAGTAAATCATCAAAATATGATAGTTAATTTAATGTAATCTTTCTTTTGTAGTATTATTATATTATTTATTATTATTATCAATTATTATTATTATTAATTACTATTTTTAAGATGTCATCTTTATTTATTCTTATACATTTTATTCTTTTTTAGTTTATATATTTTAGCATAGCAGCTCATAGAATGTAATTACTATTCTGATTGTTGTATAATAATAAATAAATAAAAAAATGGTATGAGTGATCAAATACTTTGGCTGTGTTTATTTTGATTTGTTGATAGCTTTTATATTTAATCGTTTGTTGCAAAATGCAAACACAAAAAATTTGTTGAAGCTAGTTTTTTGGTTCTAATAAATAAATGTGCCTTTCAAGTAACAGTGGCCTATGAAATTTGCACTTCTATGTATGAAACTTGAAATTATATTTCAGGTTCCAGGCAAGGGTCATAAATATTGATATTGGTTGTCGTAACAGTATTATAGAATTAAGATTTAAGTGTCATTTCACAAAAAAATTTTTTGGTAAAATATTGAAAAATTTGAAATTTGACTTTAAAGTTAGGCGGGCCCATAGAGGGTTGATTCGCTTTTGTAAACCACAAAACTCATAGAGCTTTTTGTAATCTCATAGAGCAACTATGCAAATATGCATTTTTCATCATACTAAATTGAATTTTCGTATGACTGAAACAATACTGTATTTTATTTTATCATTTTAACAAACTTTACTGAAATTTTATATTTAAATCACTTGTTATAGAAGCATATAATATTTTAAGGTGTTCTTGGCGAGCACGAATTCTATTAACGTACAAAATCGGTTCAGCATTTTTTGGCAAAAACGAGGAAAATTCAAATTTGCACTAATTTGCACATTATAAAAAAATATCGGTCGATCGTAGGACCAACTAGAGATTATTGGAGACTTAGTCTTTACTGAGTTTAATCAAATAGCTCTTGAATTTTTAAAATCAATGCAGCCGTTTCTCAAAAAATGTCGATACTAGTTGATATTCAGCTCACATACAGGCATACTATATCAGATATTAGTGTCAAACAATTCAGAATGACTTGAAGCATCTAATAAAGGCATATCGGAAAGGTGAGGCAAGAATATAAACTGCTTCTTTGGAAAGTTAGAAGTATAATAACTGGACAAATAGTTGGTCAAATTAATCTGTTTCTCTAGTACATTCTCTTTTATAGTCTATTTTTCATGTCTATTTGTTGCATATCTATCACTAATTAGATAATAATAATGGGCAGTACTGCCCCAGGGCAGGTCCGTGAGCTGAGTTAAACTCCAACTCGATTCAGAGAAAAATAGTGTGAGAGATTTCCCTTTGCCATTTTACACCGCAGTTCCGAAATTGGCTATTTATAAATTGAAACATATTTTTGATCTAACGAAGTAAAAATTGATATCTCTTTTGCACGAAATCAGATTGTCCATATCATTATTATTATTATTATATTCTTTTATAACTTTGTTTTATTTAGCGATCAGAAATACATAAAGATTCCTATGAGCCATATTATTTATAAAATTGAGTTTTTCTACTTACATCTTTACTCCACCTCAATTCGTACGGAATCTCTAAATCATTTGGAAATTCGATTTCGCAGTTGAAGGCGATGTGAGATCCGACGGTCGCATAGAGATTCGTGCTCGTCTCCTCGTCCTCTTCAGATGAGGATGCATTGATTATCTCGGAACGAAGTACAAGAAAGCATACGAGTGCACCGAAGACACACTTCTTGGAGTACATGATTGATTTCTTCACTTCGCAACTAGAATTGATATATAAATACACAGATCAGAAAAAAACTGGGTGTCAGATGCATTAAACTTAAAACAAGTTGCTTAAACTTTCCAGCATTAATCGATCATGATTGATTTATAAATGCTTCAGAAGTATACCGAGTTACTTAGGTTCTTGTGATATTGAAAACTATTGCGGATGATAACTTTTGTTTAAATTTTGCAAATATGTTAGTTATATTGGACAAATAGTAAAAATATTGTACAAAATTGAATGAAAAACTATCATGACATTAATACATACGCGGAGCATTTTCTATGGATGGTTAGTAAGTCAAAATTTCTGGTGAATAATACAAATAATATATTCACATAAAAATGCTCCTCATGAGCTTGAATGGATGTATTGAAACTATAGCGTGGGAAAGGAGCCAGGATCTAACTATAGACCGCACTTTCTATTAATTCCAATTATCGAATAACTTAAGCTAATACACTCGTAAATAAAATTACTATGTCAAAGAAGTGTATTATAATAAATAATAAAATTTGACAAATTATACAATAAAGTGAAATTATTAGAATCTATAAAATTAAAAAAAAACTCAATAATTTTATAGCTGACTAGCAAACCCGGCGAACTCCGTTTCGACACCAGATGTTTTCGTGTGATGAAGAAATTTTTTGTTTGTTTTATATTTGAGAAGAAAAAATTTGATCAGGATGGAAAACCCGACTTATTTTTATATATATAGAAGATAATCTATTTGCAATTATTTAAAACAATTATTGAGTATTTTTATTACTCGAATTTTTAATCACGGTGCGTGAAGTTCCAGGAATTTGCATTAAGGCACGATACCATGCACCACTAATTTGCTTAGCTATAAACCTTGCGGAGCCCGAGGCCTTTCCAACGAATGCAAAATTGTCGAAATCGGTTCGTGCGTTCTGGAGTTATTTCGTTATTTTTATATATATAGAAGATAATATAGCCAATTGTATAAAACAGCCAATTAGCCTCTAATAAATAAATAAATAAATAATTGTAGATTGGGATGGATTGGATTCAAGTGTCAGATTTTATAAATATTTAGCAATAAAATAAATGTAGAAAAATAATTAACAAGATATAAATAATAAATAAAGAAGAAGTCGGCGAGAGAAAAAAGTGGGTACAAAATTTTCCTGGAAAAGAATTGTAAAAATTGTGTCAGAAATACTGTTGCCTTTATGGTCAACTTAAAATAAACTACCAGTTGATAAAATAAATGAAACATGGACAAATAAATGCATTTTTTCAAATTTGTGTCAGGATTCAATAATTTAATTAGAGTTGTCATAAATTATTTGATTTGGTTAAAAAATATTGAAATTGATATTACTTACAAGGTCTAAATCGAATGCCAATCCAGTGATTGGACGTCAAGGTGTGATAGTAAAAAATCAAAATTATGTCAAAATGGTATGTACAATTCTAGTACAATAAATTGAAGAGAACCGAATTTCCTATACTGCACTTCCTAACAAAGTTCAACTCAACTCACGAACATTTCTTCAAAAAAAGTATTAAACAATATAATTAAATTTTATATAAAAAAGATAAATATGTAATATATAAAAAAAAAAGTATTTGAAAAACACTGACATTTATTCTATATTATTTATGGTTTATTATTGCATTGCATTAGTGCATTTTTTTTAAATTCGTGGCATGATTCAATAATTTTTTTTTCTTTTTTTTTTTTTTTTTTGTGGATCAAAACTTTATTCAAGTATTCAATAATTGAATTAGAGTTGTCATGCATTATTTGATTTCGTTACAAAATATTGAAATTATAGGGACACTAATTATGAAGTCTGTTTTAAGTTCTTATAGTTCTGTCTTAAGTAATATATTTTTCACTATATTAAATTGTGCAATTTATGTTTTAAAGTTAATTTAATGATAATTACAATGAACAATATTGTTCGCAATACATATACAAATAATACTAATAAGTGCATAAAAATATTAAAGTTGCAATATTTTAAAAATTAATCTAATATATCAAATCATTCTCCTTGACAAACATTATCAAAATACTAATTTTGAGTAGCACACTTAATTTCTAAATTGCATTATCAATTTATTATTGCTTTGGGAAATAAAGTTTGAATCTTACCGTTAACAAAAAAAATGTTTTAAAACAATAACAATGAGTGATCCATTCACTACAAATATTTTCCTGATACTAAAATAATCCTCAAATTTTCAACTATTACTGCACTTGACCATGTCATCCTCCCCATTAAGTTACCATTGATTAATTGAATTTCAATTTGTTTCAAACTTCGACATGTCAAGTTGTTATGACAATATTAATTATTTCATTATAGCTTCAGCGGTAATCTTTGATAAATAATTTTTGCATTGAATGAGTCTTGGTTAATAGTTGATTAATGCCTTCAATAAATGCAAACGCAAAACCTTGAGATATCTCATCTGTGGCAGAAGATTGCACACAATTGGCTTCCATCGTATGATTTTAATCTATGATAAAATATTCTTAATAGAATATTATATTCAATTCAATGTTTTAAATTAGTATTATTTATATTCAAATCTACTTAAACAAGAATTTTGCATCTGGTATGAATAATATTAATAAAAACGTCATTGAAAATAATACTTTGTTGCCTTTGAAATGTATATGCATTTGCTCAAAATGTTATTTTTTTTTAAAAAATAGCCCTTTTAGGCACTATAGTGCAAGATAATATAAATAAATTATTTTTTTATTAATATTAATATCTGCATCTATATCATGCAGAACATCAGTTAATTTTTGGTAGTACTTAGAATGTCTAAATCGAATGTCTATTTAGTGGTTGAAAGTCAGGGTGTGATAGTATAAAATCAAATTTATGTGAAGACAGTATGTAGAGTTTCAATGTAATTCATTGAATAGATTATAATTTCATATATTGCCCTTCCTTATAAAGTTTAACTAAGCTCACGGATATTACTTTTGACAAATTATCCAATAATATAAATTATATATTAGGAAAGTAATACACAATAAAAAAAATATTTAAAAAAACACTGATCAAAGCTTTATTCTATATCATCTGTTGTTTGTCAATATTTCAACAAAATAAATCCATAATTTTTATCAGATGTAGCAGAACTAGATAGGCAAACAATTTAGACATTTTTAAGTACTAACAAAAATTTTGCTAATGTTCATTAATGGAATAGATGCAGTTATTAAAAAAATTTATAGCAGAAGATAAAGGATCGGCAGATTCACGAATAGGGATAAAAATAACAATAATGTATTAATGGTAATTATGAGCAATTTCTACCAGGAGGCAGGTTCTTGAAAAGCGAGGATTAGTGTAAGAAAGTTCGCGTTAACATTTAATATCAAATTGCCTGAATATACATCATTTCAACGATAGGCATATTTGCATTAATATATTGAATTGAACATGTTTATAAGTCAAGCTTATACTAACCAATTAATCTATCTTGAAAATATAGTATTCTTAAAAATTTATTAGTTTTATACAGGTTTTGACAATAAATGATTTATGCATTCTGAATATTTATAAACGGTGTTATATAATAAACTAGTTGGTATTGGTATTTTGCCTTGAGGCAAGTTACACGAACTTCCCGATAGGTGTAAATAATCGATTAAATCAATAAAAAATAAATTAATTTATGAGTGATTAAAAGCATTTCGAGTGTATTTATTACACATAATTAAAAACGAACAAGGACTTTAATGGTTTAGTATGTTCATTAAGTACTCTATTGTTATACCAAATAAATCGTCATATTTTAATTTTAGCAAACGTCAAAAAACTACTCATTTTTAAAATTAAACTACTTTACGCAAGGCCGTAATATTTTAGTAAGTTCTATAAGACCATGATATATCGCCAAATAAAGTTCCATAAAAATCGGCTTAATTTTTTTTTTCAATAGTTAATTACAAGAAAACGGCCCGGTAGATTTTTACCTAAAACCAATCAGTATCATTTCCAACTAATATCTTGCGAACAGTTTTTGATTTTTTAAAATCGATTCGGTAGTTTGAGCTTAAATATGGACAAAAAGTTTAACACTTTTTTTTCAAATTACAAAGAAACGATTTGGCATATTGTCTGAAAAACTGACAAACGATAGTCCTCATTGAGCTACAAAAATGGCTTTTAAATTTTTGAAATCGGTTCAGGCGTTTTTCAGAAAACGTCGATTTACGGCAAAAAATCTGTTCACACACACACACACATACTTTTTCCAACTTTGGTCTCATTCGATTCAGAATGGCTTGAAACGTCGAGAAAACATAAAATTAGCGAGACGGATTTTTTGATGGAAACAAACTTCTCCTTCGGAGAAGTTAAAAAGATTTTGATCGTTTAAATTTTAATAAATGCATTTTTTTTATTTATTTTTCAAAGCAAGCTATACAAAAGTACATTCAACTACATCTGTTACAGTTATTTATTATTTGACTGCGTGAGAAGGATCGCTATCCTGCATTTTAATGCTATTTCCTTTTAGCTTGGAATATTATGTAAGTTGGACAGAACAAGGTTGCCTACATAACTTTAACTATATTATTATATTTTGTATGAATCATTATTAAATATTTAAGACTAAACAATAAAACGAGGTGTTTTTGATTCGTCATCATAAAAATATCGAAAAAAGTTATGCAATTGCTTAAAGTAACTCATGCTGGCATGTACCTATGTATACGCAGAATAGTGACATTCAACACATACCTTTTATAGTTTCATAAAACCATCATATAATTTATATAGTATTAATATTAAAGTAATTCTATATAACTGGAAAACTGCAGTCTTACTATTTTTAACTAATCACATCTACACAACAATAACAAACAAAAAAAACTCATCACTGACTTTTTAAGTACTTTGCATATCACTGATTCCGGCAAGTGTGAGACAATGTCCTTACGAGTCGGATAATGAACTTATGAAATATTTTGCTAGTTATTCAAAAAGGCACATTATGTCGGCCACTATGCAAAAGATTCCACTGGACCCTATCAGCAACGTAATAAAGTTAACTATGGAATAATGACGGCGTAGGATTATGGAGTGCGACTGCCGGTCAAACCAAAACAGAGGAGTGGGAGGCTAGATTTGCATGCATTCTATATAGAAAGAAATGCCAAAATTTGGAAGTTTGCACCTTATTTGTAGATTGCAATAAGCCAAGAAGATTTTTTCAAACGCGCTATTTTCTAGAATTGCGTAAATTTTGAAATAACGCGCTTGAGGCAATGTTGTTGAATTTTATATATTTGATTAAAGTGTATTAGTTAGGATTAAAAAAATTATTCATTCAACAATTTTATCAATATTTGAAAGGATTACTAATGAGTAACCTTTTAGAATAGATATTATTTATATCCATATATCTCCAAAATTACTGAATGTCTTTTTATTGTATAAGACAGATTCAACAGAGATTGAGACAAGATTCAACAATTTATCTGTAAAATATACCGAAACTGAAGTCAAACAAAGAGCAATTCGCAATATTATAATATTTCGAAAAGTTAAATTTATAGCCAACTTCAGATAAATACAAATATAAACTATTTTAGGATCCATTATTGTTATATAACTAATAATAATTGTATATATCTATGCATAATCAAATTCTACAACGTTGTCCAAGATTTATTAACACGTTTGCGGACGTGGATGCTATATCATTCATCTTTACGTAAGGCAGAATGACATGAATGCTATAGCATTCAAATTCAAAATTGAATAAATTTCAATTTAATTTATATGACCTTACGTTTTGTAATTATTACATCTGCCAAGGTAATGACTAACTGATTCTATAGGTATATTTGTATTATCTTACCTTCTTCCGTAGTCACTAATTAGCTCGGGCAATGACATTGAGTAATACTTAACGTGGATGCTACAGCATTTATAGTATATAAGGATTAAAATATGATAATCTGACTACCCTTGTAAGTAGTGTTTAATCAAATTTCGGATATCACAACCAATTTCAAATTAAATTGACTATCAATTTTTGTACCTTGCCGAAAGTTTTATTGATCACAAACGTGTTAATTTCTACTGTTAACCACCAATAATACAAACTTTTGTATGCAAATACAAATTCTGCAAAAATAGTTTTAGTAGCACGTACATTGACAAAATTATAAGTTAAGAAAAATAAATGAAAAAATAGCAATCACAAATGGAACTGTAATATTTTTTCTACATAAATTCTTTCGAATATTTAGTGTAGCAAAAAACTAACTTATTCAAGTGCTAAAGGAAGAGATTTATGAGTAAAAGAAGGATGGAGCTCACGAAGTAATTTTGTAAAAATTTATTCACTTCTTTTGGATTTGACTTTAATTGCCAATATGCTAATTCTAGATTTGGCACCAATCTATAATAAATGCCTCTTATTTTGAATGTTAAATCATCTTGCTTTAGTATGTCGAGCATGACAATGTATAGACAGACCAAAAAATTGACCCAAAAAATAATAAAATAAGTTGAGAATGATTGTGTATATAGCATTTCAAAAAATTGGTCAAATAATATTAATCATTTTATAATAATTTTATTTTATATTAAGTAATTAATTAGTATAATATCTTAATGAATTGTCGAAGAACGTGTGCTTCCTTTGCTTCAGAGATATCAAAGTTTGATTATATTAGAAAATATTGTCTTCATTCAGAATAATTTTGAGATTTCTTCGAATGTTTCGCGATATCAAACAGAAGTTTATTCTTACACCATGGATTAAAAAATTATCTAAATTGGAATAATTGGATGCTGTCAAACTTAATTTTATACCATTAAATATCAATTAAAACTATTTCCCTCATTCGGATCAAGATTCTCAATACTTCATGCTATTACAAATACAAACTATATATATTTGTGCTAATTGAATTTAAAAGTAATTTAAATTTGAAAAAAGTAATATAACGTATAATCGATAACTTATTTGTTATTTGATCTAGTATATATTAAATATAATTTCACTGTTATATTCTTAACCTTGTAAATAATCTGAATTTCAACAAGTTTAGATTATTTACATCTTTGATTTAATTTAAACACTAATTGAAACTAAATTAAAACAAACACAAATTAAATTTAACAAAGTTTGATATAGCGACTGGCCCTAAAAATCATTACACACAGTAGGTAAATATCAACAAAAATGATTTTTTGATGTAAGAATTATATACGTTAAAAATATACTGTCGGCGAGATAATAATAACTCCAACTCGATTCAGGGAAGAATAATATGAAAAATTTCTTATTGCCATATCATACCGCCCAAAATGGAGTATTTTTAATCGGAAACATTTTGAAATTGATTTGATGCCAGCGCGATATAACAATGTTATATAATTCTTGTTGAATGAACCCTTTCCACTCGTGAATTGCAAAATTTATATGGATTTTACCGCAGGAGCGGTGGCTGCGAGTGGAAAGGGTTAACATTGTACGAGAATAAAATAAATAGATAAACTCAAACAAAGATATATAAATGAACACAAAAACTAGAGTTCTATATAAAAAGATTATGTTAAATTAAGTTTTAAGATATACAATTTAAAAATTATTAAATGTTCCAATCACTTTATAATAAACGTTTACTCGTTTATAGTTGGTCTTTAGTTATGTAAATTTTAAGCGTTAATAAAATATTTACAAGTATAAGCAAAATTAGAAATTAATATCGGCATGTCAGGTAGATCTAGAAGTCTATGCAAAATAATTAACTTATCACCTGTATCTTATGATCATCTAATAATATTTGGCTCCAAACCATCAAAGTACTGATTAAAATTGAATGTATACAAATACATTGGGCACTGAAACATTATAGCAATCGTGTCACCATGTCCTAGTAATCGACTTAATCACGGAAAATCTAGAATCGAACTGACACCCATAGACGTCAATGTTAACATTTGTATTTTACGGTACTCATTAGCATTTTACACAAAATATGATTTCTGACGTATCGTTTAGTAACTTAATTAACAGATTTCGCGATACATTTTCAATGTAAAAAATGACGTAAACTGGGATGTAACGAATTAAAAAAAATAATACTTAAGGCGTGGATATTTTGTCAAATAATAATTTGATATTGTAATGGTAACACCATAGACCATTCTTTCAAGTGTGATAACTATATATTTTTACATTTTTTTGTTCACTTTACAAACTAGCGTATGAAATCGAACTGTATCTTGATTGTCACTTAAGAGGGCGTGCATTAATCACGTGAACGAGTTTTTTTAAAGTATTTTTGGACCTTCCCTCCCCCTTGGTGATACATGGTGGTATTCAAAATTGACCCCCCTCCCCCACCAAACATCACGTGTATTTTAGTTAGCTGAAAAAACTGTAAAATTATTGAACTTTTTTTATGTTTGAATTTTAAAAAATAAACAGTTAAAAAAAAAAATACACGTGATATCTTACTATACCTACGTGATATACGTAATTTCTTGTCAAACTCCCCCTCCCCCTAAGAACCTCACGTGATTATTGGACGCCTTCTAAGAAAATAAAAAATTTAATATTATGGCACATCATAAAGATGCACTTATGATAAAACTTCTTTTTACTTCGTGCGTTTTTCTAGGTTATGTTTTATATCCGAAAGCCTGATCGAACAGCAAAAACATTTTGACAGATTTTAGTACCATTTTATATGAAAAAACGCAGTGTAAGCATAGCTTTGCTATAACATTGGTCTATTTGTGGCACATAAATATATTAAACATATGTAATAGCGTTCTCATATAGATGTTGCAGTAACAGCTTCAAAAATCGGAAATTTGATATCATTTTGCTTGATATCAGGAATCGAGATTGGGATCGATCTCGAAACTAGTTTGTGTTACGCCACGATCGGCTCAGATATTTCATTTACCAAAACTTGACTTCACACAAATTAGGTAACACAAATTCGAATCCAAAAGATTTAAGGTTTTTTGAGATTAGATGAGTTGTTGTGGATTAGAAGCTACAATATGCAATGTTTTGGTTCGAAAATCGTAGTACAACATCATAGACCTCATGAATGCTAAATTAACTTCATCTTGGACATGTGTTAGAGTGTCCAGTCGTTTGCATGTCGTTGGTCACGTTATTTAACAATAATTTTGTGTGTAGTTCCTACTCACGTTTTGAGAGCGCGTTGATTCGCCTAAAGGAAGTTGTAGATTTTTAAATAATGTTCGCGCACATTCCCACTCTTTGCGACGGATCAGTTTTGCAATAAGGATGAATAGATAGATGTGTTATTTAGATCCTATACATTAGTTTAATGAATTGTTGATGAAATTTCCCTGAGACAACTAGTATCAATAAAATATAGAAGTTTCTCGAGATAGTTAAAAGGATTTTGGCATATATTAAATCAATAGTATACAATTAGAAAACACTCATTAGTAATTTTAACCGTATGTGGTGTGATTTTCTTAATTCAGAATCTAAATTCTTAAACAAGATGTGGACTGGA